AGGGGGGCCCCCAGGGGGCCCCCCTAAGGGACCCCTCTAATTAACTGAAAGCTGCTGCTGCTGCTGTTGTGCACCACTTGAGGGCGAGGAAAGAAGACTGGCGTTGCAATAGACAGCAGCAACAGCAGCGACGACAGCAGCAGCAGCAGCAGCAGCAGCAACAGCATCAGCAGCAGCAGCGTAGGCAGCAGCAGCAGCGAGTGCAGGCTCGTACGAGAGAGCAGCACAGACTAGGAGAGGCATGCGGCAGCAGCAGTTGCCGCAGCTGCTGCTGCTGCTGTTGTTGGCGTTGCTGCTGCTGCAGTGATGTCGGGTCTGCTCTTAAGACGCAGCCTCCTGCTGCTGGCAAATGGCAGCAGCAGCAGCAGCAGCGGCAGCAGCTGCTGCTGCGGTGCCCCTTTGCGCCTGCTGAAGAGGCCCGTCCCTCAGCAGCAGCAGCAGCAGCAGCAGCAAGGGCGGCCGTGGCAGCAGCAGCGGGAGCAAGTGACCCTCCCCAGCCCCCCCTGCAGCAGCAGGCCCAGCGTTTCGCCGCGCAGCAGCCGCAGCAGCAGCAGCAGCAGCAGCAGCAGCAGCAGCAGCAAGGGCTTCTGCGATCGCCGCTTGCTGCGCGCAATTGGAGGCCGCGGGGGCCCCGGCTGCATGCATTTCATTAAACATATTCAGCAGCACTTAATGGGCCCCGGAGAGCCTTCGGGGGGTTGCGGGGGGGAGGGGGGCCCCGTGCTGCTGCGGCTGCGGGCCCGGGGGCCCCCCAGGGGGCCCCCCGGGGGGGCCCCCCCTGCAGCAGCAGTAGAGGACCTCAGCAGCCTCAGGGGCCTCGTAGTGGGGGGCCCCGGGGGCCGAGGGGGCCCCCGCTACAGCAGGGGGGCCCCCGGGAGAGCAGCAACAGTTTGGCTGCCGAGCAGCTGCGTAGTCTGGAGAGTGGAGGAGGGGTACGGGGGGCCCCCAGAGGGGGGCCCCCTGGGGGCCCCCGAGGGGCCCCCTGAGGGGCCCCCTGAGGGGGCCCCTGAGGGGGCCCCTGAGGGGGCCCCTGAGGGGGGGCCCCCTGAAGGGGAGGTTTGTGGGGAGGGAGCTGATGAGGCGCCAAGGGCGAAGCAGAGGCTGAGGTTTCTGGGGCTGCTGGACCCCGCCACGGCTGCTGCTGCTGCTGCTGCGGGCAGCAGCAGCCGCAGCAGCAGCAGCAGCAGCAGCAGCAGCTTTGAGAGCGTGGCTGCTGCTGTGCTGCAGCTGCTGCAGCCCCACCTGTTTGCCCAGGAAATGGCAGCAGCTGCTGGGGGCCGAGGGGGCCGGGGCAACAGCCGGAGGTGTCCGTACACCGCAGAGGCGGGCGAAGAGGGGCAGCAGCAGCTGCTGCTGCTGCAGCTGCTGCTGCTGGCAGATGCTGCACTTGTGGGGCTTCCCAGCGCAGGCAAGTCTTTGCTGCTGTCGGCTCTTTCCCGCTGCAGCGCTTTTGCTGCTCCCTGGCCCCACAGCACCACCAAGCCCCAAATAGGCCACATCATGCTGCAGCAGCAGCAGCAGCAGCAGCAGCAGCAGCAGCAGCTCGAGGGAAGCAGCAGCATCTCAGTTGCAGACCTCCCCGGGCTGCTGCCGGGAGCCACAAATGAAGTGGCTTGCTGCGCAGCAAGACATGCAAAGGGGGCGAAGCTAATTTTGTTTGTGGTTGATGCTGCTGCTGCTGCTGGCAGCAGCAGCAGCAGCAGCCACGGGAGCCTGCTGGAGACTGTGCAGCTGCTGCAGCAGCAGCTGCTGCTGCAGTCGCCGCTGCTGGCAGCAAAGCCTGCTGCCATTGTAGCCACCAAGTGCGACTTAAGGCCCCACCGCACTCTGCAAAAAGTTGACGAGCTGTGGCACCAGCAGCAGCAGCAGCAGCAGCAGCAGCAGCAGCAGCAAGCGATTAAGCAGCAGCTGCAGCGACACTTCGACAGGCTCGTCGAGCAGCGGCAAAAGGAGCTGCTGCTGCTGCAGTGGGACTCCCCACGGCAGCAGCAGCAGGAGCAGCAGCGGCTGCAGCAGCAGCAGCAACTCGTGCAGCAGCTGCTGCAGCACTTGCAGCTGCAGCAGACACTCCCTGTCATCCCCGTCAGTGCCCGGGAGGGTATGGGGCTGCAGCGCCTCGTGCTGCTGCTGCAGCAGCAGCTGCAGCAGCAGCAGCTGCAGCAGCAGCGCGCTGTCTTGAACTTGCTGCAGCTGCTCGAGTGGTCTCTCTGCACCGCGCCTCCAGAACAATAACCCTTCATCTAAACCCTAATTTCTAAACCCTTTCCCAAACCCTAAACCCTTCTCTAAACCCTCGGCCCTATTCTAAAGGCTGAGTCCGAGGCCCTGCCCCCCAGCCTAAACCCTAAACCCTAAACCCTAAACCCTAAACCCTAACCTGTCGTTGCCTAGTTAAAAGATTACGAATTATTCCAGCAACCATGTGTGGCTCTAACGAACACCAGCTGCAGCAGCAGCAGCAGCAGCAGCAGCAGCAGCCCGTGCTGCGCTGCTGCTGCTGCTGCATGCGTTGCTGGGGCCCGCGGCCCCACAGGCGCCTTCTAGGGGCCCCGAAGGAGCTGCTGAAATAAAAATAAAAAATAAAAACATTTTCCGCTGATTTAGGGTTTTGGAATTTGGCCTTTCAGCAGCAGCTCTTTGGGAGCCTCTGCTGCTGCTGCTGCTGCTGCTGCAGCGGCAGGGCGCTGGCCGAAGGCCCCTTCTCCTTCGCGTTTAAACCCTCTCTAGGGTTTAGGGTTTAGGCTCTAGGGTTTAGGGTTTAGAGTTTGAAGCTCAAAGAAGGGCCTACACCTCTTTTTGCAACTCGCTGCGCCGCAGCAGCAGCAGCAGCAGCAGCAGCTCCGGCAGCAGCGGCAGCAGCAGCCGCCGCATTGTAGCAGCCGTTAGAGCAGCAGCAGCAGAAGCGGCTGCATTGTAGCAGCGTCTACAGCAGCAGCAGCAGCAGAAGCTACAGCGGCAGCAGCAGCGCCAGCAGCTGCAGCAGCAGCTACAGCAGCAGCTACAGCAGCAGCAGCAGCTACAGCAGCAGCAAGGCTTACAAGAAGCAGCAAAGATGAGAATAGAGAAGTGCTGGTTCTGCTCCAGCAGCATTTATCCCGGTAAACCCTAAACCCTAAACCCTAAACCCTAGTGTGAGCAGCAGAGGCCCCGCTGCAGCTTCTGGGCTTTAGAGCCTTTCTTGCTGCCGAAGGTTAAGTGCAATATCTATTATTTATTTATTATTTTATTTTATTTTATTTTATTTTATTTAGGGTTTAGGGTTTAGGGTTTAGGGTTTGTTGCAGGGCACGGGATAGTGTTTGTGCGCAACGACGCGAAGATCTTTATTTGTTGTTTAGGGTCTAGAGTGTAGGGTTTAGGGTTTAGGGTTTAGGGTTTAGGGTTTAGGGTTTAGGGTTTAGGGTTTGTTGCAGGGCACGGGATAGTGTTTGTGCGCAACGACGCGAAGATGTTTCGTTTTTGCCGCTCGAAGTGCCACAAGCTTTTCAAGGCAAAAGGAAACCCGAAGAAGTTCAAGTGGACGAAGGCCTACAGAAAGGCCCGCGGTAGGGTTTAGGGTTTAGGGTTTAGGGTTTAGGGTTTGGGGTTTAGGGTTTGGGGTTTGGGGTGCGGGGGGTGCGGGGGGGGGTGTCTGGGCGGGGGCTGCTGCGTAAGGGTTGGCGCTGCAGCAGCAGCTGCTGCTGCGTTTACTGCTGCTGCTGCTGTTTCGCTGCTGCTGCTGCTGTTTCGCTGCTGCTGCTGCTGCTGCGCTCACTGCTGCTGCTGCTGCTGCTGCGCTCACTACTACCGCTGCTTCCACTGCTGGTGCTGCCGCGCTCGCCGCTGCTGCTGCTGCGCCCACCGCTGCTGCTGCTGCACCCCTGCTGCTGCTGCGCCCACCGCTGCTGCTGCTGCTGCTGCTGCGCCCACCGCTGCTGCTGCTGCTGCTGCTGCTGCTGCAGGGAAGGAGCTGACGGAAGACAGCACTTTTGACTTTGAGCAGCGGCGGAATCGGCCAGTGCGGTACAACAGAGAGCTGCTGCAGCAAACTGTGGGGGCGCTGCAGCGGATAGCAGCAATTAGGGAAAGAAGAGCAGCAGCACATTACCGCAGCAGAATGCTGCGGGCCTTTGTGGAGGGGAAGCAGCAGCAAAAGGCGGAGAAGCTGCTGCAGAAGCACAGCCGCTTGCTGCAGCAAATGGAGCTCCAGAGCAGCAGCAGCAGCAGCAGCAAAAGCATCCGCGCACACGCCCTGCTGCACAGCGACGACGAGGAGGAAGACGAGGAGCAGCAGCAGCTGCAGCAGCAGGAGCAGCAGCTGCAGCAGCAGCTGCAGCACGAGGAGCAGCAGCAGCAGGACCTGGAGGAGATGGACCTGGATGAAAAAACAACGAAAAAAGGCAAACAAAAAGTCAAGACGCTCCTCAAAGTCTAAAGCTGCTCGTTGGATTGCTAGCTAGCTAGCTGGACAGCCATTTGGGTAGCTAGCTATGCATTAGCGTCACCTAGGCGCCGATAGGTAGCTAGCTAGCTAGCTAGCTAGCTAGCTGGATAGCTGGCTAGCTAGCTGGTTGGCTAGCTAGCTAGCTAGCCAGCTAGCTAGCCAACTGGTTGGCGTCATTCACACAGTTCCCCTGGGCGAGCTAGCCAGCCACGAGGCTTTCCATTTGGCTAGCTAGCTAGCTAGCTAGCTAAGGAGGTGCAGCCCAGTGGCTAGCTGTCTAGCGGCCTGGCTGCACTCGGTGCCTTCACGCTGTCGCAGCAGCAACTGCTGCTGCTGCTGCTGGCAGCAACGGGTTTTTTGCTGGGAGACCTTTCTTTGTCTGTTACTGCTGCACTCGGTACAGAGTTAAAGGCGGCGGGCCTGCAGCAGCAGCAGCAGCAGCAGCAGCAGCAGAAGCTGCGCAGGGGCAGCAACGGTGCTGCTGGCTCTGTTTTGTGAGAGCAAGCGCCTCAGTGGCTGCTGCAGCAACGCAGGGGGGCAGAACCCTTAGGGGTTAGAGTTGTCTTAGTGGTGTGCTGCAGATTTGCTGCTGCTGCTAAGTTGCTGCTGCTGCTGCAGCAGTAAGCGCGCAGCAGCAACAGCAGCAGCACCAGCGGGGCGGAGGGGAGAGCGGGCGCAGCAAGGCGTTGCTGCTGCAGTATGTCCAACCCGCTAGTTTAATTTAACTTTATTTTGTAAAAGTAATTTAATTTAATTTAGTTTAAATATAATTCTTTTCATTCGAGTTAGTTGCAGCGATCGATCGCGGAAGCTGGGGGGCCCCCGGGGCCCCCCACCGGATTGAAGGTGGTGGTGTTTGGCGGCGCTGGCGGCACTGCGGCGGTTTAAAGGGTTTATTATCTTTGCGAATTTCGTAAAATGAAACTAAATTAAAAAAGAGAAACAAAGAGGTATTTATAAATAGTCCATTTGCAGTTTTCTCGCGGAGTTCGGGCGCGAGCGGCGGCGCTGAGGTGTACAGACACCTCGACACTTCCGCCTCAAGTCCGCCGTTCTTTCCTTCTGTTCTTCTTCCCCTTAAACATGTCTTAATAGGCCTTTTCTTCTTTTTTCTCTGCAGCCAACACCGCCAAGAAGCAGCAGCAGCAGCAGCAGCAGCAGCAGGATGCTGGGGGATGAGGGTGGTTCTTTGGGCTCTGCAGAGGCCAGCAGCGGCTTCAACGAATTCTCCTTCTCTAATGGGGGCCCCCTAACTCAAGACAACGAAGTGGGGGGCCCCCTGAGGGGTACTGCGGGGGGCCCCCTGGGGGGCCCCCCGGGGGGCCCCCCAGGGGGGCCCCCAGGGGCTTCTTCGCAAAGCCAAACCCTTCCTCCCCCATCTCAGGACTTGTGGTTTAGACCAATTGAGGCCAAGGCGCTGGCTGAGGACTTCCTGCACATTGACCACGAGGTCAGATAAGCTCTAGGGTTTAGGGTTTAGGGTGTAGGGTTTAGGGTTTGGGGTTTAGGTTGTAGGGTTTAGGGTTTAGGGTTTAGGGTTTGAGGTTTAGGGTTTTGCCGTCCTCCCTTGCTGTATCTGTTGAAGGTTTTGGTGGTGAATTTTGTGGCTGCTCGCAGAGCTTAGCGTTCAGGGTTTAGGGTTTAGGGTCTAGGGTTTAGGGTCTAGGGTTTAGGGTTTAGGGTTTAGGGTTTAGGGTTTGTGCGCAGATAGTGCCTTGCCGCGTCTTGGTGGAGCTGCGGGGCCTTTCTTATCTTTCGCCCACAGCGAGAGAAGAGTACGCGAAGAACCTGCGCCCAGACGTGGTAACAAACCCTAAACCCTAAACCCTAAACCCTAAACCCTAAACCCTAGACTCTCGCCCAGGAGCGGGTTTTGGCCGCGGAGCGTGCCTGCCGCCCCCCCTTCCCGACGCCAACCCGCAACCCCCAAACCCTAAACCCTAAACCCTAAACCCTAAACCCTGGCGTGCTGCAGGTGACCCCCGGAGACACGCTGCAGCTGCTGCTGTTCCAGGCGCGCAGTTTGCTGCAGCAGCAAAAAGTGCAGCTGCTGTTTCCTGCTGCTTTCGGCCCCACAGTAATTGACGCGCTGCAGAAAGACCCTTTGGGGGTGGACCTCGCCAGCCACTCTCTCTTCTACTTCGAGCTCGGAGAAGAACTCTGCAGACTGTCCGCTGCTGCTGCTGCTGCTGCTGCTGCTGCTGCTGCTGCTGCTGCTCGTGCTGCTGATGGTGGTGCAAGTGCTGGTGGCGATGCTAGTTGTGGGGAGAAGGGGTGGCGTAGCTTCTGCTGCTGCTGCTGCTGCTGCTGCTGCTGCTGCTTTCACTTGCTTGACGCGCATGCTGAGGAGCTTCCCGCCGCCGCTGCTGCTGCTGCTGCTGCTGCTGCTGCTGCTGCTGCTTAGGCTGCCGGAGCACGAGTGGCCGCACCCGAATCTGCAGGCCATTCTGCAGCAGGCGAAGCGGCAGCGGCGCGTGGGTTTGGCTGTGGGGGCTTTTAGCAGAGACAGAAAAATACTAAAGAGACTCACTTTTGAAGAAAGAGACAGTCAGCAGCAAACTCCTGCTGCTGCTGCTGCTGCTGCTGCTGCTGCTGCTGCTGCTGCTGCTGAGGAGGGGGATGCTCTTGCAGTTGCTGCTGCTGCCTTCGCTGCTGCTGTGTGACTGGTGCAGCTGCAGCTGCCTTTGTTGCTGCTGTGTTTGCTGCTGCTGTGCTGCTGCTGTAGTTGCTGATGCTGCTGTGTTGCTGCTGCAGTTGCTACTGTCTTTAATGCTGCTGCAGTTAATGCTGCTGCAGCAAATGTTTTTTGTCTTTGGTGGTGCTCTGCTGTTCTTTGGAGAGCCTCCTTGCTGCTGTCGCTGCAGCAGCAGCAGCGTTTGCTTGCTGCTGCTGTTGAGGCTGCTGCTGCTGCTGCTGAAGCTGCTGCTGCTGCCAGCTGCCTGTGTCTGTTTTGCTTCAGCTGTTAACGCAATAGAAAACAGCAGACCCTTCATGGGGCCCTTTGCATAGTCCTGGGGGGCCCCCTTGTGGGGCCCCCCGAGGCCCCCACGATCCCCAGGGGCCCCATACGATCCCAGGGGGCCCCACACGATCCCAGGGGGCCCCACACGATCCCAGGGGGCCCCACACAATCCCAGGGGGCCCCACACGATCCCAGGGAACCCACATGATCCCAGGGGCCCCACAAGACGATCCCGAGGGGCCCAACAGGGTCCCAGAAGGGGCCCCTGATGCTTATCTCTAGAGGGGGCCCATAGGGGCCCCCATGATCTGGGGGCCCCCAAGGTTAGGGGCCCCCTTAGAACAGGGGCCCCTTAGGGTCCCTTTAAACTAGGGGCCCCATAGGGTCCCCTAAGAGTAGAAAAGGGGCCCCATAGCAGTAGGGGCCCCATTAGAGTGGGGACCCCTTAAGAAAAGTGTTCCCCTGAAGTGGGGGCCCCTTAGAAATGGGGGCCCCTTAGGAGTAGGGGCCCCTCTAGAATAGGGGCCCCTTCAGAATAGGGGGCCCTAGGGGCCCCCTAACAGTAGGGGCCCCCTAGGGGGGCCCCTAATTTATGAGGGTTGGCGGGAGTGGGCGGGGCCCTTGCTAGGGTGGGGGCCCCACAGGGGCAAGCGTTTAGGGCTTAGGGTTTAGGGTTTAGGGTTTAGGGTTTCGGAGGTTTTTGCTTTATGGGGTGCGAGAGAGGTGGCGGCAGTGACCAGCTGGGGCTGCTGCCGAATTGTTTAAAGCAGTTTGCTGCGTTGCTGTGGATAGCTAGCTAGCTAGCTAGCTGCCTAGCTAGCTGCCTAGCTAGCTGCCTAGCTAGCTGGCTGTTTAGCCAGCTAAAAAGTTGGCGGACTGGATGGTTGACTAATTGGCTAGCTAGCTGGCTAGCTAGCTAGTTGGCTAGCTGGCTGACTAGATGGTTAGGAAGCTGGCTAGCTAAGTGGATAGTTAGTGATCCGAGCAAGCCCCGCTGCCCTTGCCCTGCAGTTTGTTGGCGAGCTAGCTAGCTAGCTTCCCTGGCTAGCCATTTCAGCTAGCTGCTGGGCTAGCCACGCGCCGCGACAGCTAGCTAGCTAGTTGGCTAGCTAGCTACCTCACGCCCCCCTTCCCTGCATGGCCAACGGCGGCAGTGCAGTCACCGCTATTTCGCCAGAACCCCGGGGGCCCCTCGGGGGGCCCCTCTGGGCCCCCAGAGGGGGCCCCAGAGGGCCCCTCTGGGGGCCCCCAGGGGCCCCTCTGGGGGCCCCCAGGGGCCCCTCTGGGGGCCCCATGGGGGCCCCTACCAGAGGCAATAAATGGAGGTAACAGCAGCAGAGGAGACGAACAAAAAGCTTAAAGGGTACTTTCTGCAAAGCTAGCAGGAGAGGGGCCCCCCGCCGGGGGCCCCTCACCGTGGGGGCCCCACCAGGTGGAGCCCCAGTGCCCAAAGCCAGGGGGGCCCCCAGAAGAAGGGCCCCCCAGCTAGAATAAGCCAGTTTCAAAAACTATCTATAGACGGTTTTAAGACGGAACGCATTTGCTGCTGCTGCTGCTGCAGCTGCTGCAGCAGCAGGGATTAGTACATGCCTCACGTAGCGGCAAAGTGCGGGTTTGGCAGCAGCCGCAATACTGCTGCAGGTGCTGCTGTAGCTGCTGCCGCAGGTGCTGCGGCGGCAGCAGCAGCACTGGCCGCAGCAGCTGCTGCACGTGCTGCTGCAGCAGCAGCAGCAGCTAGAGGCTGACACTGCTAACAGCTGCTGCTGGCCAGCGGGTCCGCAGCAAAGACTGCAAAGCGGCGCTGTGGGGGCCCCCCAAGACAGCCGAATTGTTCTGGACAAGAAACGCGCTCACCCCTGGCCCTGCAGCAGCAGCAGCAGCAGCAACAGCAGCAGCAGCAGCAGCAGCAGCCATTCCACCGTCATATAGCCAGACCCCTGAGCTGCTGCTGTCAGGGGTGTTGTCGCTGCTCCTAGTAGTACAACTGCTGCTGTCCGCAACGTTGCTGCTATGCTGTTGCTGCTGCTGCTGCTGCTAGTACGACTGCTGCTGCTGCTGCTGCTAGTACGACTGCTGCTGCTGCTGCTGCTGCTGCTGCTGCTGCTGCTGCTGCTTACCAGGAGGTACTTGGCCATCGTAGAGGAAGACGTGAAATGTCTCTGGGGGCTCCACGTGGGGCTCAGCTGTGAAAGGCGCAGCGCCGAATCGAGGGTTTAGGGTTTAGGGTTTAGGGTTTAGAGGAGACAAAACCCGAAGAGACTACACAAAGGAAATAAAAGAGACGAAAAGAAATGAAAAGGGAAGAGGGAAATGAAAAAAGAAACAAAAAGGCACAAAAGAAAATGAAACGGGAGCAGCAAAAAGAAGCAGCAGCAGCAAAGAATAAAGTAAGCAAAAGAGACACAAAAGGCAACTCAAGGGGAAATAAAATAAAACAAGAAGGAAACTCAAAAGGAAATAAAAAAGAGACAAAAGGAGCTTAAAAAGAAGCATAAAAGAGGCTAAAGCGAGGCTAAAAAGAAGCATAAAAAGAGAAAAGAGGTCAAGAAGAAACAAAAAAAAGTTTGAAAGAAAGGGAAAAAAGAGCTTCAAAAGCCCATAGGAGAGACACAAAGAGAGCGAAATAGCGAGCCCAAAAGAGGCAAAAAAAGCCGAAAAAAAACCCAATAAAAATCCGAAAGAGGGAGAAAAGGAGAATTAAAAAGGGAACAACAGGAGAAGCAAAAAGGGAGTTTAAAAAGAGCAAAAAGCGCCGAAAAAGAGCAGCAAGAACCCAAAAACGAGAGAAAAAGCGGGCCAAAAAACGAGCAGAAAGCGAGCAAAAGGCGAGTTTGAGGGAACCAAATAGCGCCAAAAAGAGCCCCGCAAGCGGGAAAGAAGCTGCTGGAGGAATCGGCAAGAAAGGGGAGAAAGAGAGAAGTTTAAAGAAGCAAAAAGGAGCCAAAAAGAACAAAAAAAAGCAAAAAAAACAAAAAAAAGCACCTGAAGAACGCTGCCCAGCCCGCACAGCCCGAAACCAACGCAGCCAGTCTGTGTACAAAACAACCCCGTCGGCCGTGGGCACTTCTGCGGCGAGCGCCGCGGGCAGTCCTGAGGGCGCAAAAGGACAATTTGAGGCGAAAAAAAGACAATTAAAACCCCAGAAGACAATTAAAAACACAAATCAAAATAAAGAAATAAATGAAAGGAATAAATGGGAAAAATGGAGGAAAAAAACGAGAGAAAACGGGGAAAAACGGGGAAAAAGACACGAAAAATTGCAAGGCCCCGGGAAGTGCTGCGGGCGCAAAAGGGCAATTCAAAAGCGGAAAAAAGATAATTAAAACTTTTAAAAAGATTATTAAAAGGGTTAGAGAAGATAAAAGAAACGATTTAAGGGAACTGTCGGGAAAAAAGCGAGAAAAAACGAGATGAAGAGAGGAAAAAACGAGAAAAAACGAGATAAAAAAGCGACAAAAGATGGCTTTAAAATGACAAAAAAGAATCAGAAAGAGGAAAAAAGGATTAAATGAAACAAAGTGAGGCAACTGAAGAGACAAAAAGAGACAAAAGGAGATGAATAAAAAGCAGAAAAATCGAAAATTGAAAAAAACAAAAAAACCACGCAAACTGAGGTGTACGTACACCCCTTCCCTACCAGAGGCGGCTAAAACGCGAGGCAGCTGCTGCTGCTGCAGCAGCAGCGACTTCCCGGGGTCTTCCAGCTCAAATGCCCACCGCGCCTCCTGCAGCAGCAGCAGCAGCAGCAGCAGCAAGTGTGCAGCGACGAAGTTGCCGGGCTGGCGCTCTCCAGCCGCAGCAGCAGCACCCGCCGCAGCAGTAGCAGCAGACAAAACCAGCAGCAGCGGTAGCAGACGGAAGCAGCAGCAGCAGCAGCAGACAAAACCAGCAGCAGCAGCAGCAGCAGCAGCAGCAGCAGCAGCAGCTGACCGCCTCCACTCGGGCGTCTGAAGGCAGCTCAGCAGCAGCAGGATCTAAAGCGAAGAGACTTGTGTAGTGGTTGCCGCTGCCCACAACCCAAAAGGGAAACAGCGGCGTTTTGAACCGGCTGCCCACTTCGCAGTACCTGCAGCAGCAGCAGCAGCAGCAGCAGCAGCAGCAGCAGCAGCAGGCCGCAGCAGCAGCATGGGCTTCGCGCGCCCGCGTCCGCAGCCGCTGCAGCAGCTCCTGCGCGTGCGCCCGGGAGCGTGTGCGTGTCAAGGCGTGGAACCTAGGGTTTAGGGTTTAGGGTTTAGGGTTTAGGGTTTACCTGAGGACTTCCATCTCGGAGAGAAACCCCACCAGGGGCCTCTTGAGGGCCCCCCCAAGTGCTGCTTCCCCCAAAGTGGCCCAGCCGTCACACACGTTGCTGCTTGCTGCTCCCTGCAGCAGCAGATTCAGCGCCTCTTGCGTGCAGTGTCCGTACACCCCAAGCAGCGGCCGCGAGGGGGGGTCCATGTCGCTGCGGACCTGCAGCAGCAGCAGCAGCAGCAGCAGCAGCAGCAGCAGCAGGTGCGGTGGGGGGGCTGTTGTTGCAGCAGCAGCAGCACCTGCCGTTGTATCAGCAGCAGCAGCGACTGCAGCAGCAGCAGCCGTCGCTGCACCGGCAGCAGCGTTCGCTGTATCAGCAGCAGTCGCAACGCTTGCAAAAGCAGCAGCAGCAGCCGTTGCATCAGCAGCAGCAGCAGCCGTTGCATCAGCAGCAGCAGCATTCATCGCACGAGCACCAGCAGCAGCAACAGCTTCAAAAATAGCAGCAGCGGCAGCAGCAGTCGCCGCACAAGCACCCGCCGCAGCAAGAGCCTGACCAGCAGCAGCAGCAGCAGCAGCAGCAGCAGCAGCAGCAGCAGCAGCAGCAGCAGCAGCAGCAGCAGCAGAGCCAGACCTTGTTGGGGCCCCGAGTAAGAACAACGGAAGCAAGGAAGCTAAGTGCAGCCCCCGGAGCTGCCAGCAGCACTTGTCTGTGGGCGAAGTAAAAGCGCATGACTTCTGTGATGCCCACAATTTCCCGCGTCTGGAACTGCAGCGAGTCCACATCTGCTGCTGCTGCTGCTGCTGCTGCTGCTGCTGCTGCTGGCCGCTGCGGCGCCTGCATCGCCACCGTGTACACAGAGTCCGGCGTGCACTGATACAGCACTGCAGCAACAGCTTCCGCCAGCGCGTGCTGCCGCTGCAGCGAGCACGGGTGCAGCTGCAGCACCTCTTCCTGCTGCTGCTGCTGCTGCTGCTGCTGCTGCTGCTGGTGACGCAGGCGGCGGCTCGCCCGGAAGCGCGAAAACAGCAAAGACCGCAGCACGAAGCACTGCAGCGCCGCCAAGACCCCACAGGGGCCCCCGTGGATTTGTGCGAGGCCCCACTCCCCGCAGTCCTGCGCTGCTGCTGCTGCTGCTCCTGCTGCTGCTCCTGCTGTTGCTGCTGCTGCGCTCCCCAGTGCCTCCGGCCACTCTGCAGCGAACGCTATCGGGTGAGCCATCCTGCAGCAGCAGCAGCAGCAGCAACAGCAGCAACATGTCCCTCAGCACAGATGCGGCAGCTCCGGAGACGACACAAAAGGCAGCAGCAGCAACTGCAGCAGCAGCAACCGCAGCAGCAGCAATTGCAGCAGCAGCAACTGCAGCAGCAGCAACTGTGCTGGCATCAACTGTGCTGGCATCAACTGCAGGAGCAGCACCTGTTGCGACAGCAACTGCAGCAGCAACTCGAGCGCCAGGAGCAGCAGCAGCAGCACCTGCTGCAGCAGCAGCAAGTTACTCAGCAGCAGCTGCAGCAGCAGCAAGTTACTCACCACCTGCCCAAGTCTTCTCTGTCTATTTGCCTGTCCCCACCTTCCCCAAACAGCAGCAGCAGCAACTCCCGCAGCTTCTGCTGCTGCAGCAGCTCCGTGGAGGCGAGTAGGCTGGCTCGCTGCTCCTCCTCCGTAAGAGAATCTTCTCCTGCTGCTGCTGCTGCTGCACAGGGGCAGGACTTCCACCGCTGCTGCTGCTGCTGCGGCGCCGCTGCTGCTGCTGCTGCCTTCGTAGAAGGCCCAGTGCTGCTGCTGCTGCTTGGAGCCCTGCAGCAGCAGCAGCAGCCACGCTGCTCTTCCTCTTCAATCCACTCGGGGGGCACTTTGAAGCGGTCCCCCGGCAGCTTCCTGCTGCTGCTGCTGCTGCTGCTTCTGTCGGTCCTGAGGGGGAACGTGCTGCTGCTGCTGCTGCTGCGGGGAGGCGGTGGCTGCAGAAGATCTGTCAAGTCATCATCTTGCGGCAGCAGCGCCAAAAATTCTGCTGCAGACAGCTGCCGCGGAGCAGCAGCAGCAGCAGCAGCAGAGGGACACGCGTCTGGAGAAGTACCTGATACTCAGACAGAAAGGGCACATGCAGCTGCTGCTGTTGCCCAAGGTCAGCAGCAGCAAGAGCGCCAACTCACCATCTCTAAGAGAGGCTTCCAGTGCTCGCTGCAGCTCCACATCATCCGTATCAAACTCGGGTGGCTGCTGTTGAGGCTGCTGCTGCTGTTGCTGCTGCAGCTGCCCTTGCTGTTGCTGCTGCTGCTGCTGCTGATCCCATTCCATATCTGCTGCAACTCGCGAAAGGCGCAGAACCTCAGGGCTGTTGGCTCGGGGCCGGACGAACTCCTTAGGCGGCATTAGGGCTGCAGTTCAGTCGCTGCTGTTGTTGCTGCTGTTGCTGCTGCTGCTGCTGCTGCTGCCGCGCGTACTGCGGCGGCGTCTTTCCTTGCTGCTGCTGCTGCTGCTGCGGCTACAGAGTGGGGCGAAAGGTCTGCCCTTGAGCAGCAGCTGCAGCGCTGGCTGTTGCGTCGCTACAGTGCGCCCATGCAGACGGCAGCAGTGATGGAAGCAGCAGCAGCAGCAGCAGCAGCAGCAGTAGCAGCAGCGGTAGCGTTTCGTTCCAGCGCCCCCGAGTACTGACACTGCAGCAGAGACTGTAGGGTCGGCGCCTCCGTGTGCGGCAGCTGCCGCTGGCTCTCAAAAGCTTGGAAGCTGCTGCTGCTGCGTCTGCCGGCGTTGCTGCTGCTGCTGCTGCTGGCGTCACTGCCGATGCTGCTGCTGCAACTGCTGCGGCTCTGATGATTTGAGCACACACTAAGAGGGCTCGCTGCTTCTGCCGCCGAGATGGGAGTTCGGAATTAAACAAATACTACTTTGGACGTTTGTGCTGCTGCATTCATTGCCGCCGCTGCTGCTGCTGCTGCTGCTGCGGCGGCTGCTGCTGGCGGTCCTGTGGCTGTGGCCGCATGTAATAGCTCCCGTTAACGCTGAGCCCGAAGCTCTTTCCTGAATTGAAATAAATAGCTCAGAAAGTTGCTTCATAATTACAAGACGAGGGGTAGAAGTCTGCAGCGGGCTGGGGAGCGCCTGCGCCTCTACTGTGCAGTGCGGCGTGTGCCGCATTTGCGCGGCTGTCTCGGCCGTTTGGGCTGCGTTAGTCATCATTTGGGGAAAATCAAATGAATTGTTTTGCAAAATAGCGAGAATTAAGAGTAAATAGCTCCAAAAACTGCGAAAATGGCCACCCACAGACCCAGTCTGACGGCCTCGCAGCCCAGCAGTGCCACCGGCAGAGGCTCTGTTCTTTCCCGACGCACATCCGACTTCAAGCAGCAAAACACCACTCGCCGAGCTTCAATATCTCGAGAAACTCCAATTCCCAAGACCTCTAGGGCCACCGACAGCTTAGGTGGGCTCCCCGCCGCAAACCCCAAACCCTAAAACGGGGTTTTGGCTGCAGACGCACCCGCAGCGCGAGCTCCACAGGCGGTCGTGAACCCTAAACCCTAAACCCTAAACCCTAGGAGTCCCGTGGGACAGTCCGCGCACCAGACGGCCGCGGGAGCTGCAGGCTACGGTGCTGCGCAGCGGGATACTCTCAATTAGGGTTTAGGGTTTGGGAACTGCAGCGCAAGCGCCCCGGTGAAGGGCAATGCTTACTGTTCATGGCCAAGGCCTTGGGGTCGACCGTTCGGGGTTAAGGGTTTAGGGTTTAGGGTTTAGGGTTTAGAGTGTAGGCATAGGTCGTCCGGCAGCGCCACGACGCTTTTGCATAGATGGTACAAATAAGGAGGAAACAAAAAGTGAAATGTGCTGAGGGTTTAGGGTTTAGGGTTTAGGGTTTAGTTACGGAGCAGAGTGGGCAACAACAGTAGCTCAAATGAAGGCACCACGAATCGCATGCGCACCAGCAGCACGAGGTACAAGCAGCAGCAGCGCAGCAAAAAGCAGCAACAAAAGTTGCGGCAGCAGCAGAAGCTGCAGCAGCAGCAAAGAAAATGTCTACTTAGGGAAACGGGAGCGCCTGCAGCTTCTGGCTTCGCTTCCAAATAGGTGTTGGCAGCTGCGTGCCTTGGAGATTTGCTGCTGCTGCTGCTGCTGCTGGCAAAGTGAAGCTCCGTAAACCCGGAAGCAGCAGCAGCAGCAGCAGCAGCAGCAGCAGCAACAGAGACAGCAGCAGCCGCCCTATGAGCCAGAGCAGATTCAACGAACCTCTCGACAGTTTAGGCTATCTCCTCCACTCTCCTCGTGACGACAAATCCTGCTGCTGCTGCTGCTGCTGCTGCTGCTGCTGCTGCTGCTGCTGCTGCTGCTGCTGCTGCTGCTGCAGGTCCAGGAAGCTATCAAGTGCTGCTGAATGAGCGAAACGTAACCCCGCGGCGTCTATACAGCGCAGCGGGGGAGTCAGAGAGCACAACAGTAGATGCTATTGAGACAGGCAGGTGTTTTGGAGTCTAAACCCTAGACTCTAAACCCTAAACCCTCAGCTCCAAACCCTAAACCCTAGTGCCTACGCCCTAAACCCTAAACGCAAGCATGCCGCTGGCTGCGGCCATTTCTGTGGTTATTCTCCGTTTCCTCTTGCCTTACTGCACCTTTAATTGCAGCAGGAACTGCTGCTGCTCTCCCCGCTGCTGCTGCTGTTGCTCTTGCTGCTACTGCTGGAACTGCTGCTGCTACTCTTGCTGCTACTGCTTGAGCTGGTGCTGCTACCCTTGCTGCTACTGCTTGAGCTGTTGCTGCTGCTTTTGCTCTTGTATGCTTGTGCGGCTGCTGCTGCTGCTTGTTCCCCTGCTGCTGCTGCTGCTGCTTGTTCTCCTGCTGCTGCTGCTGCTGCTGCTTGCTTGCTGCCGCTTTGGTCTGGTGCTGATATTGCTGGTGCCCTTGCTGCTGCTGACGCTGCTCTTGCTGCTGCTCTCGCTGCTGCTCTTGTTGCTGCTGCTGCTGCTATGCGTTTAGATGCGAGGTTCCTGAATAAACTGCACAGCTGCTGTAAGATGCTTTTAAATTATTTTATTTCTTTCCTGTTTCCTTTCCTTCATTTTTTTGGGACTGCTGGCTCGCGTGGAGCCCGCTGAGGTGTACGTACACCCTGGCACTTGTGCTGCTGCAGACCTGGAGCTGTCTGGAGAGCAGCAGCAAGAAGAAAGCCCGAAGCCAGCAGCAGCACGAGAAGCAGAGCCCACAGGCAAGCTGCTGCTGAGGTTTGGGACTTTTTGCAAATCTGGTTTTCCTTTTTTGAATTTCAAAAAATAAAACAAAATTCTCCAAAATGCCATTTAAATCCTAAAATTAATGCTTCAGTGCTGCTGCAATTAAGGCCCTACGGCTCTGCCGCCGCAAACAACGCAGTGCAACAAAGAAGCTGCTGCCGCTGCCACTGCTGCTGCTGCTGCCGCTGCTGCTGCTGCTGCTGCTGCTGCTGGGCGTGGCAGCAGAAGGCCCCCGTGCCGGGGGGGCGGAGGCTGGCGGGGAGCTGCTGGTGGAGTTGGAGGAGACGGAAACTTTGCTGCTGTTTAGTAAGGCCTCGAGCTGCGCAGTGATGGGTTCTGAAGAGCAGCAGCAAATTGCTGCCAGGAACAAGGCCTACGCAGAGCTGCTGGCAGCTCGTGCTGCAGTGCCCCGCAAGTTCAAAACCGCCCACACCCAAACCCTAAACCCTCAACAAAAACTCAAAGCTGTCGCCACAGACTCCAGCGCCCTCCTCTCTGCTGCAGTGGCCGCCACCCCCGCAGACATCCACGACGCGCTCACCGCCAAACCCCGCAAACTGTACTGCTGCTGCTGCTGCTGCTGCTGCTGCTGCCGCTTGTGCACCTGCTCATGCTGATGCTTGTGCTTGTGCTGCTGCTGCTGCTGCTTGTTCCCCTGCTGCTGCTTGTTCCCCTGCTGCTGCTGCTACTGCTTGTTCTCCTGCTGCTGCTTGTTCCCCTGCTGCTGCTGCTACTGCTTGTTCTCCTGCTGCTGCTGCTGCTGCTTGTTCTCCTGCTGCTACTGCTGCTGCTTGTTCTCCTGCTGCTACTGCTGCTGCTTGTTTTCCTGCTGCTGCTGCTGCTCTCTCCTTCTGCTGATACTGCTTGTGCTCCTGGCGCTGCTGCCTTCGCCGCTGCATGGGCTCCTCTGCTGCTGCTGCTGCTGCACCACTTGTGTCGAGTTGCTTCTCAGCAGCGCATCTTTTGTTTCTCCGCAGCACTGACGACTTCAGAGACACTTGGAAAAAAGCAGCAGAAGAGTTTGCTGCTGAGGGTTTGAGAGCCCCAGGGACATTCTTATCTCTGGACTGGCGACTTTGCGCAGCGCGGGACCGCCCGCGGCCTTCAGGCAGCGCTGGGGGCTCCTCGGGGGCCCCTCCAGCTCCCCACATGCTTCTCTTTCGCGCAAGTCCGACTTTAATGCCTCTCAGGCGCAGCAGTCGCTAAAAGCCAGAGGAAGAGAAAACACAAAACGTGCTGCTGGAAGTTTGTTGAACAAGCGCAGCACTGGCACTGGGGAGGGAAACCGGGCAGACACGAGACAAACAGGTTCGACGTGCTGCTGCTGCTGCTGCTGCTGCTGCTGCTGCTGCTGCTGCTGCTGCTGGTGTTGCTGCTGGTGCTGCGGGCGTTGCTGCTGCCGGTGTTGCTGCTGGTGGTCCTGGAGTTGTTGCTGCGGGTGTTGGTGCTGGGGAGCAGCCGGGGAACTGCTGCTGCGGACAGCTGGTGGAGCAGCAGCTGTTTCTTTCGCTGCTGCTGCTGCTGCTGCTGGCACTGTTGCTGGCGCTGCTGCTGCCACTGTCACAAGTGCTGCTGCCGCTTGTGGAGCTGCTGCAGCAACCCGCACACTTTGTGGCTGCCGCAGTGACTGGCAGCAGCCGCTTTTGCTGCTGCTGCTGCTGTTGCTGCTGCAGATGGCTCTTCATCAAATTTTGCCCCCCGGCGCTCGCAGCGGCAAGTACTTGAAGAGACAGAAGAATCTTTTCTCGAGGAAAGCCAAGAAGCCGCAAGTAAAGAAATCGACCCAAAGGCCGGCTGGAAGGTGCCGCTTTTGCTGCCGCTGCTGTTGCTGCTGCTGTTGCTGCTGCTGTTGCTGCTGCTGTTGTCGCTGTTGCTGCTGGTGCTGCTGCTGCAGCTATTGGTGCATTGTTGCGGGCTCAAAATGGTGCTGGTGACGCTTTATTGGTCTGTTGCTTCTTTGCTGCTGCTGCCGCGTTACTTTTCGCCCCCCGGCAGCATAGATTCTTGCTGCACTTCTTGCTGCAGCTTTTAAACACAATTTCCGCAGCCTTTTCTTGTGGGGATAAAAGTGCTGCAAAAGCTGCTTGGAATAGCTTGGCTTCGCGTCAAACTAAGCGAGCAGCAGCAGTAGCAGCAACAGCAACGGGAGCAGCAGCAGCAGCAGCAACAGCAGGCGTGGGCGTCTGTGTGCTGCTGCGCAGATGGCTGCCGACGGGCCGCTGCCAGCAGCACTGGCTGCTGCTGCTCTGCGGATCGAAGCTGCTCTTTGTCAGCAGCAGTTTCACAAGCAGCAAATGATTTACAGAAGCTTCAGGGCGCTGCAGCTAGCTGAAGATGCACTTGAAGCACAACCCACAGATATGGGATCCCACACAGGAAGTAAGTTGCTCAGGCTGTCTCGTGCTGCTGCTGCAGCAGCTGCGGGCTCAGTTACTGCTGCTGAATGCCTGCTGCTGCTGCTGCTGCAGCGTAGCCGCTGCGATGGAAGGACGGCTAGTGGTGCTGCTTCCTGAAGACAGTGCTGGTGGCGCTTCGTTTTCTGTTGCTGCCCTGTTGCTGCTGCCGCTGCTGCTGCGTGCGCAGCACGCAGCAGCAGCGGCAGCAGCAGCAGAATTCCCATAGCTGCTCACCAGTAGCAGCAGCAGCAGCAGCGGCAACACATCGAGCATCTTTTTCTAGTGTCTGTCTGGCAGGGATGTTGTCTGCTGCTGCAGTTAGGACAGGCTTTGGAGAAGATGCGGAGGAGAAGCAGCGGGACGCGTCTGACTCCGACGAGGCAGAAGACGAGCAGCAAAGCAAGGCCCTTCTGACAATGCATGCTTGTTTGCTGCTGTTGCTGCTGCTGCTGCTGCTGATGTTGCTATTGCTGCTGATCTTGCTGCTGGTTCTATTTCTTGCTGCTGCTGCGAAAGAGACGAACTATCTGCACCCAGTAGCATATCGGCTTGGAGCCGCCGGAGGCGCGTGAATCTCTCACTGGCCCCCTCCTCGCCGCTGCTGTTGCTGCTGTTGCTGCTGTTGCTGCTGCTGCTGCTGCTGCTGCTGCTGCTGCTGCTCGCGCAGGCGGGGGCAGCCGGCAGCAGCTCAAGGAGCTGCTGGACTTCGATGGCCGCGCGCTGTGCGACGGCCATGGGGTGAGGGCTCTGGCGTATCACCCAGTGCACAAAGACACTCTGTGTGCTGCTTACAGCAGCCCCGCTTACGACTGCAGCAAGCGGCGGACTGGTGAGGAGGAAGCAGCAGCAGCAGCAGCAGCAGCAGGCCGCGCCACAGCCGCAGAGCCCCGCTGCCGAGCCGCCGCAGCCCCCGCAGCGTCCAGACGGCCCACGAGCGGTGCACAGACACCCCGCGAGGTGTACTTACACTCGAGGTGTACGTACACCCCAGCGTCGCTGCTGTGTCTGCAGGAAAGCTGCTTCTCTGGTCCATTGCAAATCCGCTGCACCCTCAGCGAGTCATTAACTGCAAGACAGGAGTAACTACTGTTGAGTTCGGGCCTTCGCAGCCCAACCTTCTCGCAGGCGAGCACAGGCAGCTGTAGGGGGGTCCATTCGCTTCATTTACTTGATTCTTTCCCCATCTTTTTGCGAGTCTTCATTCTTTTTTGTTTGTTTTGGGTGGTCTGCGGGACACTGCGCCTCGAGTGGTTGGGAAGAGGCCGCCCGCGTTGTTGCTGATGTGCTTAGCTGGCCTTTGCCACTCTTGCTGCTGCAGCAGCAGCTGCAACAGCAGCAGCTGCTGCTGCTGCTGCACCCGCCAGAGCGAGACGAGCAGCAGAACTGGAGGTGCTGCTGGGGTTCTGCATCACAGCGAGAGTTGCCTGCAGCCCCAGCGCCCTGGGCGAACGCAGCAGCAGCAGCACCAGCAGCAGCAGCAGCAGCAGCAGCAGCAGAAGCCGTCGCCCGTGTGCGCTGCTGCTTTCAGGGGGCATGGTGGACGGTGGGGTTGGTGTTTGGGATGTCCGGGTGCCTCGCGATCAGCCAGTGCTGCACAGCGCCGGCAGCGAAGGAGTGTTGGTGAGGCTGCTGAGGTGTCTGTACACCCCATGACTTGGCTGTGGGTGGGGCATTTCAGGGCTGTTGGGCTAAACCCCTCAGGCCGCTTCTTTTGCCCAAATGACCTTCAACACTTTTCACTTATTATCTGAGCATTTTATTTATTGTCTGAACAATTTCGTCTGCTTGTTGGTTCTGTTTGTTGTCTTGCTGCTCGTCGGCTTTAACCCCACAGGAGCCGCGCTGGTTACTGCAGACAGGCATTCCTTAGCGTCTGTCTGTCGGCCCTTCGGCCTTTACTACTGCTGCTGCCACTGCTGTTGCTGCTGCTGTTGCTGCTGCTGCTGCTGCAGGGCTGCCAGCACTCGGACACTGTTTGGGACTTGAAGTGGATTTTAAAGGAAGGGACGGAGGGCCTTCTTACCACAGGGGGCGACGGGCAGGTCCTTCAGTGGAGCATGCAAAAAGGTAGGACGGAATCAGTAGTGGCTAGCTAGCTGCATAACTGGCTAGCTAGCTGCGCCACTGGCTAGCTAGTCACAGAATTGGCCAGGGCTGGCTCCGAAATAAAAGCACTGGCTGCAGCGCAGCACTTCTCCAAACAACAAAAGAGCCCTATGGGGCGGTGGCCCACCGCGCGTGACCACTGGTCACTTGGTCCAAAGCCCTCGGATTCGCCGCAGTGGCTGCAAAGAGCTTGCCAATGTGCTCCTGTAGCCCCACATGTGTGCTAAGGGGCCCCAAAAGCCCCCCAAAGCGCTATCTCTAAGGGGCCCCTCAAGTCCCCAAAATGCTGTCGCTAGAGGGGCCCCGCAAGTCCCCGAAGACTGTCTCTAGGGTCCCCAAAAACCCACCAAGCGCTGTTTCTGGGCACCCGCAACTGCGTGCTGCATTGCGCTGCTTTGTGCTGCTGCTTGCTGCTTTCTGCTGCTGCTTGCTGCTGCGTGCTGCTGCGTGCTGCTGCTTGCTGCTGCGTGCTGCTGCGTGCTGCTGCGTGCTGCTGCGTGCCGCTGCTGCTGCTGCTAGGCCTGACTCACTCGGTGGCGATGGTGGTGCGGCGGACTGCGAACGCGCAGCTGCTGCAGGTGACGGCGCGCAAGAAAGACATGAGTCGCAGCCGCTTCTTCAGCTACGCCTCGGGGCTGTCGCTGGACGTGGCGGCCCACGGCGATGGCAGCAGCCTTTACTTCGTCTCCACCGACGGCGGCGCAATTCACAAGTGTTCGTTGGCTTATAACGAGCAGTTCCTCGCCACGTACTTGAGCCACAAGGCCCCTGTTCGCACGGTGGGCTTGGGGGGCCCCCGGGGCCCCCAAGAGCAGCTAGCTGGCCAAAGGGCTGCAGGCCTTTGGCCTAGCAAGCTGCCTCTGGGGCCCCTTCTTCTTGCCTCTTTTGGGATTGCTGCTTCTGGGGCCTCTCGTTGCGGCTCCCTTGTCTTGTCTTTCTGTGCCTTTCTTCGGGGTTTGGTGTCTTTCCTCGCTTGCCTTGACTTGGCCTTTCGGAGTCCTCGAAATCTGCTTTTCTTTTCTGTGCTGCTCTGAGCCTCTTCTCTGTATTTCCCCTTCACGCCAGGCGCCTCCTCTGCTTGCATGCGCGGACAACCTATAGGCCTGTCTACCTCGGCGCATGCGCACATGCACAGGCGCATGCAGCCTGATTGGTTGATGCATGCTTGCGCCGCGCATTCAAGGCCTGCATGCACTGACTTACCATGCATGCGCCGCGCATGCAAGCCCGCATGTACTGACGTGCCATGCATGCTCCGCGCATGCAAGCCTGCATGCATGGGTGCACCCACTCGCAGCGCATGGGCACTGAGGCTCCATGCATGCGTGCATGCAGCGGGCCACCGCGCATGCGCAGCGCATGCAAGCTGCTGAGTGGTGCTGCTTCAGGTGCGGCTAAGTCCCTTCTCCCCGAACTTTTTGCTGAGCGGCTCCGCCGACTGGACTGTGCGGCTGTGGCCAGTGGCCCGCAGCGAGGCGGAGGCGGAGGTGTTCATCTCTACGGAGGCGCCCAGCGCGGTCAGCGACGTTTGCTGGTGAGGGCTCTTGGGAAAAAAAAGACCATTTGAGGGAAATAAATGAGACAAAGAAAGACATTTGGGATTAAAGGAGGAACTCGGGGAGTAAAGAGAGAACTGACACAAACACAAGCAATAAGAGAAGAGCTGGGTTGCGCCGCTTTCTTTTGCTGCTCCCTTTTGGCCGTCTTGGCTGCGCCGCTGCCTCTCTTCTTGTCGCTGTCTTTGCTGCTGCTGCCCTTTTTGCTTTTCTCCCCTTTGTCATTCTTTCTTTATCCACCTCTACCTTCTTCACCCTGTCCCGTCCGGAGTGTTGCGCTGTTTCTGCCACTGCTGCTTCCTCCACTGCTGCTCCATTTCTCGCTACAGATCCCATCACTACTGCTGCTGCCGCTGCTTCTGCTGCTGCTGCTGCTGCTGCACGTTCGCTCAGGAGTCCCTATGACGCGACCTCATTCTGCTGCTCGTTTGACGATGGCCGAATTGAACTCTGGAACTGCGCAGAGCTAACAGAAGATCCCGCGGCAGTTTTGTACCCTCGCCGTGCGGACTCTCAGACTAAAAGACGGCTCACCCAAATAAGGCAAGTGCAAATCTTTTACTTTCGTGTTTGTTTATTGGGGGCAGTTTCTCGTTCCCTTGCGTTCAATGCACTCTACCTTCCCCATGTAGAAGCAGCAGCGCTGGCAAGACGTTTGGGGTAAACACGGGCATGCATGCAAGCACGCAAGCGCGTGAATGCAAGTGTGCAAGTGCATGCATGCAAGAGCATGCATGCAAGAGCATGCATGCAAGTGCATGCATGCAAGTGCATGCATGCAAGTGCATGCAAACACTTGTGCGCAGGTACGCACCTTGTGCGCCTGTGGTAGTGGTGGGGGACGACGAGGGCTGCATAAGCCTCGTCAGCATCCAAGAGGAAGCTGTTCCTGCCTACTCTCGACAGGAACAGCAAGAGCGCCTAGAGCAGGCCTTTCAGGCCAGGGCCAGCCAGCACCAGAGAGGGCCGGCTCAAGAGGCCTCAGCAGAGGCTTCTTGAGCAGCAGCAGCAGCAGCAGCAAGGGGCCCTCTAGACGCTCACGCGGACTCAGTCTAAAAAGCAGCAAGCAAGAGGCCCGAAGGTTCTGAAAGCGTGCCCTGGGCGGCTGCAGCACGGGCTGCTGGGCTAGGTAGCAGCAGCAGCTGCAGCAGCAGCAGCAGCAACTGCACAGCAGCAGCCTGGCTACAGCTACTCCCGTGCCTTTCCTTCGTTGGAGGTGTCTATTCTACAGTACGTTTGCCTTGTCTGGGTCAATGTGAAATATGCGCGCAAATTCACTTAGTGCTTTTCACTTTATAGAAGTTAAGACAGCCAAAATTCCTCCAAACTGCAAACCACAACAAAGGCAAGAAAAAGCCGCTCACGCTGGTCCGCCCCCCTGTCGGACTCAGCGCAGTCTTCGACACCGTCGCTGTACGGCTAGTCCGGGGGCCCCTCTGAAGCCTCTCTAGGGGCCCCCTTGGGGGTCCCCCAGAAGTGCTGTGGGGCCGCTAAAGTGACACTCCGCTGGGGAGCGACTACTAGAGGTTTTCTCTCGAGGGCCCCTTTAGAGGCCCCTCCCAAGGGGCCCCCTGAAAGGGGCGCCTAAGGGAAGCCGCTCGCTGGCGGGACCCTAGGCATCCCCGGAGGCCCCGTAAGCTCAAGAGATGGGCCCCTAGGCAGGTAAATAAAGCCCCAATCACAGCGGAAGGCGGTGGCATGAAAGCAGCAGCATGGCCCCACCGTCCAAAGGGCTTTGCGCTGCGAGGTTGTTGTTGCTGCTGCTGCTTCAAGGGAGCAATTCTAGGCCCTCTCTGTTCGAGGGTGTTGTAGTGCAGAGTGTCTCAACAGTTTGAGTTGTAGCGGTCTCCCTGCAAGAGAAGAGAACGTGTGGGGCTCCCCAGTAGACAGAGAAAGCCCCAGTGAAAATGCATGTGGGGCGTCGAGCTTCCACGCTACTTGCTCTTGCAGACCCCGCAACTGCCTATATGCATGCCTGCGTGCATTTTTGCATTCAAGTATGCATGCATGCAGCCTCTTCTACTGTGGGCCCCTAATGCCCCGCCCCAACGAGCCGCCTGGCCTTCCAGGGCGGACTTTGTCTCTGTGCTAAAGGAGACTGAGGGGGCTGAGTCATTTAGTAGTAGGCGTCGTGGGCGTTCTGGTCGACCACAACGTTTGTTTGGTCCTGGGGAGTTTCTGCAGCAAAAAGACAAACATTATGCACGCACGCACATGAGCTGAGCCTCTAAAAAGGCCTTTTTTGGCAACAGACTAGCATGTTTCATTTGTAATTAGTCTCGTCTTTGCACGATTTGTGCTGGCAAAGCTTTCGAGTAGAGCTTGCAGCGACAACTGGGGGCTAGCTAGACTCACCTCCCCAGAAGGAAGGCTCGGCCTCTTGGGCCAAATCACTTTGCTTGTGCTTCCTCTTCTCTTGCACTTTCAAGAACTCCTCATCCCTCTCGTCGTCCCCGTCCAGAAGCTTCTTCTTCTCAGGGTTCTTTGCGATGCTGGTGTCTTTTTTTCTGCGAGGCACATGCACTGCCACAAGCAGTCGGCTGCTGTACAGCCTGTATCTCGAGCTGCCTGGCTAGCTCTCTGGTAACCTAGCTAGCTAGCTAGCAATGTAGCTGGCTAGCTGGCATGGAATGTTGCTAGCTGGCAATGTACGTGGCTGTCTGGAAAGCTAGGTAGCTAACTGGAATTGTAGGTGGCTAGCTGGAATTGTAGGTGGCTAGCTAGCGAGGCAGCTACTCTAGAATCAGGTACCGTTTGTAGATGAAGTAGCCGATAAGAGCGGCAATCGGCACAAGCAGGCCGAAGCTAATGCCCAAGGCTACGGGAAGGATGCTGCTGCCTGCAGAAACAGACCCCCAAGGCCAAACGCACAAACTAGCCAGGCATGTCGACCCCCAAGATAAAAGCCTGCTTAGCTGTGTAGGCCTTGCGCCCGCTGTGGCTTTAAACTGTCTCAGAGAGTGCCTCTGTTTGTCTCAGCTGTTGTCTATCTGAGCGAGCCGTCTCCAGTTTTCGTGTGCCTTTTTGCGTGTGCACGCTCATTCTAAAGTTTCCCTTTCCCAGGTCCTTCGGTGTTGGTTTGCCTGTACATCTCCCCTCTCCATGTGCAGGTACTTGTGTCTGTGCTTTTCCTAGTTAAGTGGTTTTGCCTATCTAGAGTGCTGCGCCGTAGCGTTGGCTCGGCGTGGTGCGCTCGTGGCCATTGGTGTTCCAGTGGTCCAGTGGTCCAGTGGTCCAGTGTGGACTCACAGTTGCAGTCGTCGCCGCCGCCAACCCACTGGCCGTTCTCACACTTCCAGGGCTTCGAGTGGCCGTCTCCGCACTCGCAGTAGCCGTAGATTTCCCAGCCCTCGCTGGCTTCGGTGCAGGGGGGCAGCTCGGCAGTGCTGGGATCGACCGATCCCAAAGATGTGAACGAGAACTGGTTGGGGGCGAGGGTGAAGCAAGTGGGGACCATGTCATACATTTCGCAAGTACCATTGGTGTACCAGTTGGCATAGTTGGTGCCCACCCCCTGCGTGTGGGGCTGGTCCTTGGAAAAGGCGCCCACAGGCCACATGGTGGCCACTGCGTTGCTGGAGCTGGTGCTGCTGCTGCCCTCAGTGGTGGGCGGCTTCGTGTACTGCGTGGGATTGTCTGAAGAAGAAACTTTGAAGACAGCTTTGCCGCACTCCGTGGGGCTGCCGACGGTGATTTGCTTTGCAGCCTTCATGCGCTGGCAAGTGGTCCCGTCCCAAGTTCCGAAATGAGCTCCTAAAACGGCTTTTTCGGGACAAGCCGTGGCGTGGTCTTCGCGCACATAAGGGGAGTTGTAAGAAACCAGCCGGGTGGTCTTTTCGGGGTGGAAGCAGTACCAAGTGAGGGCTGGGGAGGCGTCGCCGACGGAGCAGTACTTGCCGGCACCCTCGAGCAGCTGCATGGAAACTCCCAGCAAAGTGCACACTTTGGTTTCTTCGTCCCAAACAAAAGGGTATCTGTACTTGTCGTTCAAGTCCGTAGTCCCGTTGGGCACGTACGTCGCCCACGCCCACCACGCACACAGCCCCAGCCCGTCGGTGACCTTCGCCAGCTTCTCCGAGGCGGGGGAGGTGGGATCGTTTTTGGCCCGCTGCTGCTGCGCCAGCGTCTCCAACTCTGACAGAGTCAAGGGGCTTATCTTGACGGGCTTTGTGTCCCACATGGCGAAGCCCCCCCCGAGCGGCCGCGTGTCCTGAGGTGACCCCTTGGTGGGCACCTTCTCCAGGTAGTTCCCAGGCCATATAGAGCTGTCCGTCGTGGGCTGCTGCAGCTTTATCTCCTTACCCATTACAGGACACCTCCCCGCAGGCTCGCGGTACTTCTTGTTGCTCACTGTCTTCTCGTTCCCGAGGTCTACGTATACCCCGCTGCCTGTCGCCCACAAAAACACACACTACGCGAATGCGCCCCATAAAGCCAGTGGAAGCAGCAGAAGCTTCTGCTGCAGCAGAAGCTGCAGCAGAAGCGAAAGCAGCAGGAACGGAAGAAGCAGCCACCACAGGGGTGCCTACGAGTCTGGCCTCTTGCAGGGGCGGGGGTGAGGGCTGAAGGGTCCTGGGCCTACCGTGAGTGTATGGGATGTTGAACTTTTGCATGGAATCTCCCCATGGGTTGGACACTACCTGCGAGCCGTTAGAAGCTGCCGCTTGGCTCGGCTTTGCTCCGAATAAGCAAAATGCCGCCACGGCACTGATGCAGCACAGCCGCCTCAGGCCGAAGCCTTCCCTTAGAGCCTCCATCTCTCCGGCAGAGTGTGAAGATCTTGCGCTTTTTCTGCTGCTGTGGCTTGCTGATAGTGAGGCCTATTGACCTTGCCTGGCTGCGTGCAATTTGGGATCGCCGTCGTGGATATGAGGACGGGGTCGGCTGCCCTTGCGGCGCAGGCAAGTCGAAAAGATCCGCGTGAATGAATGAAATAGAGGAATTTAGCAATGAATTCTATAGAATGAAAAGGGGAAGAAGGGAGAAAATGTCGAGGGCACCCTCGCTGGAGGAGTTGCCGTCGTCTCGCGTCCGCGGCAGTCTCGAGTCTGCGGTGCCCGTCGACTCGTTTCTGTGGTGTAGATATGGATGTAAATTGAAAGGAAGAAAATAAACTTGATAGTTCCACCACGGGAAAAAGAAAATGGGAGAGGAAAGAGCAAAAGAAACCAGAAGGGTCGGCTGAGGCGGAGGCGAGCTACCTGGCGAACACCATCGAGACCGTAGTGCCTCCGGTCCAGCAGGGAAGAGAACGCCTCAAAAGACCATCCAAAATAGACTAGCTTTTATCTAGTCTAAATTTATAGTCGTCAGGGAAAACTGAGAAAATTGATTGGGCCACACATTAAGCGTACGGCTCGCAGCAGTAGGCACCCCTCCGGCAGCTCAGATCGCCGCGCTGCCCACCGCAACTGACCAGCGTGCACCGCTGGGGGACGGCTGGGCAGCAGCTCTCCGTGGAGCTTCTCCTCTCGGTTTCTGGTGAACTTTTCATGTTTTTGACCCTCAAAACTCAACTAGAATACAAATACGAATGTGTTTATCCCAAAAATTTGGCACATCAAATGCAGACCTGCCCATGCCACCAGGACGCTCACGGACTCCCAGGTGAGACAGGTACCCCCTCACAACTCCCCGTCAACTAGAGATTCTAGCCAACTTGTGCTATTCATTTTGATTTGTGTGCGTTTTCTGAGGACTTTCGGCACTGGGGGACTCCTAGAAACTGCTGAGTCTGGTAACTTTACGGGCCCCTGTTCGCCGCATCTAGCCTTGTACCGTGTTACTTAGGAACAAGAAAGGAAGCCCAATTCTCCCCAGCTCATTGCTTCTATCTGTCCTTTTAAAGATGTTAGATTAGGCCTGATGTGCACCTCGCTGTGTCCCCACGCACCACAAAGGTCGGAGGCCCGGCCCTCCCCTTCAAGGGCACTGGCGGGCACGCGAGAAAGGCACTCACTATTGCACTTTGCACAAAATCTCTCAGGAAAGCCTCTATGGCTCATAATATTCTCAAACGCTGCCACCAAAGGCATGCACACAGACGCTGTTAGCCCTCAAATTTGGCGCGCTTGAAGGTGTCAGCCTCCAGCGCCGCCCAACGGCAGCAGAGCCGAAGGCCAGCGGTCCCTACTTAAAGACGAAGGCGCAGCCTCTGCGAACGTTAGCCTCTAGCTTGTAATCTTGATCTAAATGGTTTAGCCGAGTGGAGCTGCTCCATTCACAAGGGAATCTTTGAGAATTTTTGCAATTGGCGCCTCACACTGGCAGCTCAAAAGACTCTGGTGGGCTCTTGCAACTACGGCTCCAGCCAAGAAAGTCTCAACCACTGTAATTCCCTCTTGTTAAGGCACAAAAAAAATCTTTGTCGTTCAGTCTTCATGACTTTCCTTACTGCCCTTGAGTGAATGCATACACTCCGTCCTTTACAGTAGATGGCATCCCTGCGGCTGTCGCGACAGTTCGGCACTATCTGTAGCTTTAGTTTATACCCAACAGCTTATCTAGCCGTCTGGTGACACGAAAGTACTTTTCCTCGCTGAGATAATTCCACTCCTGATCGGATCCCTCTGCTGTGTCTGCCGACTTTTGGGCCTCTACAACAATGTCTGAGGGGAGGTAGCAGTAGCCTTCCTTGACCTTGTGATAATGCATTCGAAGAATGGCTTTGCGAGCTTCAAAGGGAGTCTCGCAGTCTGCAGACCAGAAAAGCGCACTGCAGGCAACTTGTACGAGTTTGCGCGAGAGCCATCACCACTTCATTGAAGGCCGTTCGCTAGGCTTTCTGTGTCCGGCCTTTTTAGACACACAGAAGCTCTCTAGGGCCACAGCTGCCTCAATATCTTGATAGAATCTACAATCAAAGTTGCTACGAAAGGCATTGGGCCCCATGAACGACCACTAGAGCACCAAACCACCACCAGACCACCGCCCCTGTGCACGAGTGGTCCAGTGGTCAACCACTGGTGCACCAGAGTTGGAGCCACTCAGCAAAGTTCGCCTCTCTGAGCGCTCCCAGATCACCTCCTCAGAGACGATTTTCCTTAGGTAATTGGCGATTGCTGGTCAAAGAGTGCTGTTGGCTGCTACACAAAGAAGCTAGCCTTTTTTTGCTTGCTTGAGTGTAAGTGACTTGAGAACAAAAGCAAAGCCTCCACGTGGCATACCTTGTACAAAATTTTGTAGAGCAGCCTCAGCTTCTTTCTTTGCGTAACCTGAAATAAGAGGATTTTTGGCCCGTAGAAAATGGGCCACGAGGCGCACAGCACTGGAGAGCTTGTTGCACTGGGGGTGCAGCGGTCTGTTCTTTCCCGCGAACAGCAAGGCCTCTATGAGAACATCTACTACAGATATCTACACATACACAAGCCAGACATACAGCAGTGTACACCGGCTGCGCACAAATGGAGTGGAAACGCCTGTGCAGACAGCGGCATTGGCACTACTATTTTTTGCATATGACTCTGTCTGGCCTGTTTCTAGGGAGCTGAAGTTTGGTTAAAGGCATCTACATTTGGTTCTTTTATCTCGGGATCTGTGTCTGCAGCGAGCTTCAGGATTTGTGGTATTAATGCATCTGTGGGAGCCACCGCCAGGTGCAGCAGAACTGGCTACAGCCGAGGTGCCACACAGAAAGCCACGAAGTCACAAAGGGGAAAGGGGTGGAGCTGGCACCTCAATGTATGTGAGGGCGTCTTGAAGTGTGTCTCTTAGCTCTGCGAGGCCTTCTTCGGCCATAAGAGGGTCCTGTGGAGGCCCGTTTATTTGGGCCTGCTGCATGCGGCGCTCGTGGGCCTCCTGGGCGATTCCCGCAAGCGTCCTTTGGGGAACCCCAAGCCTCTGGCTGCCGGTGAGCCTCGCAGGCAGCTCCGCCCGATCGCTGTAGTCTTGAGGGTAGACCATGAACACGTCTAGGGCTTCTTCCGTGGCAAAGCAGAATGTGTCATCGCCGTAGCCAACCAGCAAACGTCGGTCACCCTGTATCAGCTCCCCTTTGCGCACTGCACAGGCACTTGCCAAAAAAACCCTTGTCTTGACGCCGCCGCATGCAGCCCCAAGAATCTGCTTCCCGCTGCAGCAGATCTAGCCACCAGGTCAGCGACAGGGGCGTCGTCAGTGCACTGCTGTTCTGGCTAAGTGACCTCAGGGTATATTCAGCAGCGAAGAAGCACCGGGAACTGCGACTAGCTACCCACTGCTGCATCTGACAAGTACGAGAGGACATGTATACACCAGTATTCATGCGAACGAGAGCAAGCAGACAAAATTCTAAATTCCCACTGGAGAAATTGTGCTTGGAGGTGCTTGCAACACCCACCTAATGTGACGGGGCAGTAGCCCTTTATAGCCAGTGCAGGACAGTTCTCAGAGTTCTCGAGGTGAAGGCGGTGAGGCAACTTATCGGGCAGTGGGCGCTGTAGGTAGGGCTTGGGCTGTGAGAGCATCAGCTGCGTCACACAGCAGACAGACGCGAAGGCAGGCAAAATAGGGAAGCCTGGATTTCCTCTCACCACCTGAAAAGAGGGCCCTCTGTGCATGAAGCAGGGCCGTAAGCATAGGCAGAGAAGACAACTTCTGAATTCTAGATGACGACAGAGAGCTCCAATGCTGTAGTGTGGTGTAAAGGTATACGGCGCGGACAGTGCCCCACGTCTAGGTGCTCATACGAGCAGCAGTAATATCGGGCCCCCCTCAACTCCATTTGAAAGTCTTCATTGCTGCACTCGCGCAGGGCGTTCTGACAAAGACGCGCAGCACCTCAGGCAGGCCCAAAATGTTACACTTGCTTCACTTCGTCACTTTTGGGGATGCTTGTATTCAGGCATTTCATTCAGGCGCTTCTACAGGGCCCTTGAAAGTTTTAATGAGCATCCCGAATTGTCTGAACCCTGCCCCACTTACAGCACTTCAGTGCATGCCTTTCTGTTTCTTTCTCTGTCTGTGCCTGTATCTGTTCTTTTTTTTCCATTTGTGTTCTGTCAAATCTGTCTTTGCCTTACGTCAACAGTCCAGCAGACTGGGCAGTACGTTGCGAGAGGGCCCTCGCTGGCGGCGTCTGTCCTTTGCTCTACGGTGCAGCGCACAGGCCGGCCTTGAGGTTTGAGCCGTTCGTAGCCGTGACGCCGCCGTAGCATTTCCTGCAGCACAGACAGCCCCACAGCAGCAGCAACGCAGACAGCACCAGTCGCCGCATCTCTGCAGCACACAGTTCTCCGCTGCTGAGCAGCAGAATCAACGGCAGCAGTGGGGGGCAACCTGCACCAATGTGCTGTGAGGCTCTCACGAACTCCCTGCGGTTGTGCAGTGAAAAGAGGGCTTACCCAAATTTCCTTTTGCACAATGTCAAACTGCAGCCACTGAGACTTTCCTGCTGGTACTCTCCTGGGAAACGCAGGCACAAAACCCGCCAGCTGTGCGTTGTTTCTGCGATTTTGCTGGCAACTGCACTAAATGAGACATTTCTAGAGCTATGAGAGCGGCTTGCAGCTGCTCAGAAGGGGCTTTTGCGTGAGGAGGGCAGCAGAGCTGCCCCTCTGCATTCAACTTTACAAGTAGCTCACACAATGCGAACGCCCAACGCGCGAAACGCTTCCACTTGCTGCTCTGTGGCCTCATCTTGAAAGGCCCTCCGCGCCTGAGCCAGTTCGGGATTTCTTAATATGTCTCGGTCATCTCCATAGGGATAGCGCATCCCTGAAATGGTGCAGCACAAATGAAGCTTGATTAGCTTCTGTGTGTCTCTGTTAGCTCTACAAGG